ATATATATAGTATTCAAATGGGGTCATATATTGTAAGAGTTTTGACAAAGAAAAATGAAAATGTAGACTTGTCATCGAACTATTGAATAAGCCCACAAAAGAGAAAACTAAATTCATTAACCCATCTATATTGCTTAAAAGTTGAAGTAGACTTGGGCTTTACATCTATAGGCCTTTTTACCTTAGGGTGGTGGGAAATACATGTACAACCATATTTTAACAGATAATAAGAATTAATTAATTAGTCAATCATCCTCCCATTTTGCATTAAAGTACACTTTAAAAAATAAAGATTGGTAATATAATAAAAACTAAGTGTTCAAATCAACACTTCATTGTCATATATAAAATAAGGAGTGTGTCATATTACATTTAGAATACAGTTGAATTAAAAAAAAAAACATATATATATATAAAATGTGATGATTGATGAGTAAAACAGATGTGGACTGTTAATCTAACTTGGTGGATGATGAATAATATTAAGGAGGATGTCATTTACCAATCAAGACAGTTTACTTTTTAGTTTAAAAAGTAATTTAATCAGTAGTGTGTGCAAGATGTTGTCATATTGTAAGAAAAACAAACAAGACACAATTAATTATGTCTCTCTTTTGTTACAAACTTGTTTGTATGTATGATTGTTGTTGTCATGTATATATACTCTTTGTAATTATTCTGAGCTACTTTGGGGAAAACTCCTTAATTATGAGCTTCACCTCCAAATCGGTTTGGTCGAGAGGATAATCTCTCTTAACTTTATAATCTCAATAAAAACTCTCATCCTTGTTCCTAGGATCATTCATTTGGTTATCTTCAATGTAGTAATTTGAACTGTGGGAGAGAGTCTGTCGAGAGGACATCCTCTGAACATTTGTCTTCGTTAGAGGCAATCATGGCTCTGCGAGTGCGAGCTACCTTGTAAGTATATTTACAGTGATGTGTCCCTCAAGTCCCCCTCCCAGCTGGGCCAAAACGGTTGGGGCACTTTTTTTGATCAGAAAATGACACCCAACTTGACAAGAGAACCCTCATTACTCAAAATTTACTCATTATTTCTAGAATAGACCCTTTCTTCTTCTTTTTTTTTTTTTTTTTTTCTTTTTTAGCGGGTCCAATAAAACTTACAAAGACATTTCTTTTTTTCTTTCACATTTATGTTTTGTAATTATATTCATTCAATGTGTGTACTTGTAAGAAGAAAAATATCTGGTTCAAATTTTGATTGTTGAAGATGATTTACAATTCTTTAGAACAGGATAAGATTGTTGTTATATTGGATAAGATTATGATCAATTTGGTAGCAATGTTGTTTTTTTCTTTCTTTCTTTCTAGTTTTACACGAAACCTTATATATTTTTTACCATAAATTAATTATAGAGAATTTCCAAGATTTAATTTAATTGTGTTTGTTTCTACGAAATATGTTTGCATAATTACCAAAAATAAATAAAAAAAATCTACATAATATTGAGGAAAAGCATAATCCACGAGATCATCCCTCACATGAACTTCATGCACCTCTTTTTATAGTCTCTTACACGAAAACTATTCATTCACCTAAAAATCCATTTTAATTAGCTTTACAAAATCTTCTCTCATTAGAGCCAAATGAAAAAAAAAAATGAAAAAAAAGAAAGAGAATAATTCTTGAAGCAACAATGTCACTTTCATGTGTTTGTAGCCTCTGCTTTTCTCACCCACCTCATCAAACACCCCCGTAAATTTAACCCAAAAAAAAACCCCAACTAATAATTGTAACATTTTGCCCCACACTTTTCTATTTTATCCACTTCCCACCTCTGTTTTTACTTATCTCGATAAACATTACCCAAAATCTGAATTTTTACAGATTAAAAATTCGCATCAAATCGACAGCAAAATACGCAAAATGTGATTAAAAATCTAAAAAGAAATTACATTGGGGGTAAGATATGCGGAATTAAACGATAAATGGAGGGCATTTCTAGAAATATTACATGCTCTCTCTCTCTCTCTCTCTCTCTCTCTCTTCTCTCTTCTCTGACAGTTACATAAAGAGAAAATGATTGAAGTAAGGCAAAAAAACAAAACAAAAAAATTACAGGAAAACTCCAAAAGTTTCCAAATATTTTAATCTTGGAACCCGATTTTTTCGAAAATGGCATTTCTGACCCTACTCAGATCTCTTCCTTTCAATGTCCTCCCGATTCCTTCATGAACCGAGAAGGAAGCCATCCTCGTCTTCGCCAGAAACTCATGCGGAGGCAACCAGTCTCCACCGTCTTCGCAATCATCTCCGTCTTCGTCGTCGTTATCCTCGATGATTCTCCGGCGGTTATCGCGGTACTCCCCACGGAGAATCTTAGACCAGTCCGGGACGTTAACGGGAAGCGAAGACGCTGTTGTAACGGCGGAGGGACGATGAGTCGACGGTTTTTTACCGGATCTGGAAGGGGTAGAGATTTTGCGGCGAAAATCGGGAGAATCGGAGTGGATTGGGTTGTAGAGATCGGATTCGTCGAATTCGAGACCTGAATCGGTGGCGGTGGTGGTGGTGGTGGTGAAATACGAAGAAGGCTGATCGGTGCCGAGAAATCGATAGCTAGGTCTAGCGTAGTAACTCTTCCCCGTCGCCATTGAACAAGGAAGAGGTTTTATAATAAAAATGATTTTAAGAAGAAAAAAATTGTTTGAAGAGTATTTTTGATTTTGGCTAATTGCTATGAAGAAGAAGAAAGAGTCATGAGGGAGTCTCTGGTTTTATACACACTCACACAGGTTTTTTTCTTTTTGGATAAATTTGGATAAGGGACCCTTAACTTCCAGTTTCCGTCAGTTGTTAAATTACAGAGTTACCCTTGGATTTTAAATGAAGTGTCGAAAGATGCAAAAGGGTTTAGACTCTATGAACAAGGTTGGAGAATATTACATGTGGCGTGTTTGGCATATTCTTTACCACACACACTTCATAACTTTTTTTATGTGTCTCTCAATACACTAAAACGATATCTATCATTATAAATTTGGTATTTTATTACATCCCAATATTGATTTCTAGTTTTTTTTAATAAAAATACATATTTATAAAATCACATTTTGTACATTTTTTTTATAAGTATATTCGAATCCAAAATAGCGACATATATTAATTTCACATTGGTTAATTATAAATATAGAGAAAAACTATACTATAGTTGGTAAATGAAAATAAAATTTTAAAGAAATATCTGATGTCCTATAAACTGAGGATACATAAGTTCTACAAGGATTATATACTGTATATAAATAATTACTCTATTGGAATAAGAATGATTAAAATCAGATATTGCATGGACGGAGAATATAATGAAGGGGGAATATAATAATGAATAAAAATTTATAAAGGAGCTCTCGACCGTGTGGAAACTTACGAGGTTGGTCGGTGTGATCGGCGCGGGGAACCAGAACCGTCGAAAACTTTACATCATACATACTCTTGGTCCATCCATAACTCTTACTACCAAAACAACTTATTAGCCGTTCCACACTTAGATATTATTATTAATTTTAGGGCTTTCACTACCCAATGAAGAAAACACACTCTGCACCAAGCTTTCCTTACCACTCGTGCTTTCCCTCGTGCTACTGTATAATTTACTACTTATTTTTCTCTTCCCTGTAACATATTACCTTATTATTAAACTACTTATTATCTTCAGCTATTTGGTTTTGGATTAAGTCTGTTTCATCTCTTGGCTTGGCTCTCTTCATATTTTTTTAATACAGCTTCCAGATTCTTTCAACAGTTCACACTAACAAGACTATAAAACTAAATGAAATGACTAATCCTTAATCATATCCCTAGTTAAAGTCCTCACTAATACTATAATTAATTATGAGTTAACCTGTTACTCTAATGTGTTTTTTCCCTCTTAATAACTTTATTAATAAAGGTATTTGAATAAGATCTTAAGATAAGATTTGTTAAAAAATAGATTTTAGTTTAAAATTTTGCTAAGATACTTTTAATAATGATGGTCAAAACTACTTAACATTTTTGTTTTATTTGAAGTATTGATTTAAAACTAACGGATCATGCTGATACAAGTCTCTTGTTTCTTCTGCCACTATAAATCAAAAATAGGGGAATCTTAGGTAGCTTTCAAAGAAAAGAAATAAAAACCAATACCGACTTCTAAGAGAAAAATATAAAAGAGAAGTATAGAAAATCTTTAAAAACAAGTTTGTCAACAAGAAAAAACATTTAGTTTATTTTCTTCTAATACAAAATTAAACGACGATCAATGTTTTCTTATTAATTGCCTCTCCTTCACTGCTATGTCAGAATGCAAATTTTAGCAAATTATGTATATGATAAAATAATAGATTTTTCGTAATTTTAGTGGATAATATAGATTCTCTTCGTACCACTTAAAAACTTGGTTCAAGTCTCTCTTTTCTCTTATTTGGTTTGTTTTTTGTTTTGTCGTGACGCGGGTGGGGTTTGGATTCACTTTTCTGCCTTCCCCAGTTCCAAGAGAAAGACAAAAAAGCAAACACGATCATGACACGTGTTCGTAACAAAACGATCTCATTACACGTGTTGTATCAGTCATCTTAGATGGATGGATGCCACGTGAATGTAGAGAACCCACTCTCATCTGATCTAAACGCGTTTTATAATATCTCGCCAGCTGGCATTTCTTTAGGCTATTTACTAGTCCTTTCGTTTTCTTCTCCTCTCGATGTTCTCTCACGCGCGACAGTCTCGTATAAGTACCGTCTCGAATATAATATCTCAGCGCGTGAGACTGGCTACGTGCGAGTATGCGAGTGGGGATTTTTGTAATGTAGTCTCACAAGATTCGTTGAACGTTGAAACTCTCTTCTTGGTTGGTCCTACGTTGCTTCTTATGTGTTTTGCTCAAATCAAAAAACTTCCTTTTTTTTGTTTAATTTTTATTTTCCTTTTTTAGTTGTTTTTTTTGGTGTCTATCCACATCTATATGCTTTAAATATATAATGGAGAAAATAAATATCTAATACTTTTTTTTTTTGCTAAGTATCGTATTTCGAATACAATTAAAAAAAAGTATACGGTCAATATTATGCTACGCGTCACTTTCCACATTGTATGAAAAATATAATCAACCCAAAACGATTAGAAACAAAGCTGAAAATAATATCCTCGTTAAGTTTTTTATCTACTACTAGTAGTGTGTCTTGGAATTAATACTTTGAAAGAGTTTCATTTTATTTGTGTCCTTCAACATATTTTGGAAACAGTTCATAAGATTTAAAGAGCTGTTTTCAATGAAATCGAGTAAATGTTTATCGGGTAATAATAAAACGGAAAAACATTATTTATCGGGGTTTTTCAGATGTCGACATAGTGGGCACATAGATATTATTTTTTAATTTAAGTAGCCAAAATACTAGCGTAGTAGTACGTATTATAAAAAGAAAAGAAATTGAATAGAAAGAAAGGAAAAGTTAAAATACTGTGCTGTAATAGTGATGATGATGATGATAAATAAAGTGTCTTTACTGCGAAAATTATAATACTAATAAAATAAAATACTTTATCAAATCATGTTATCCTTTCCAGAAAGTTACGAGGTGAAACCAATAAATGAACAATAACTTAACAATGTTTTTTAATAGATACAGCTAGCTAGCCAGTCACAAGGCTCAGCGAAAAAGTTTGGAATATGATTTTACGATTTATACCATTTTTTTTTTTATAGATAAGTGGTGAATCATTGAGCTATTTTATACTACTACATTTGATTACGGGGAGCTAGCTTTTTAAAGTGATTAATCGATTAGATGCTAACTAGTGTGCTACTTCATTTTATATTACTTCCTAATTTTGGTCCATGGAAGCTCAGTTGTAATGTCATGCATCGATCTCAATTATGCAACGAAATTTGTTACATGTACATCAGCAAACCTCAGTAATACATATACAAATACGCACACGAAAGGCTTAAATGGTTCTGTCTCTTGTATGGGTGGTAGTGGTACATATAATATCTGCCTCTGTCTTTCACATAAATATTTTCTCATACCTTGAACTTCGATCAGTTTTCTTAGCTCTCCATACATATTTATTTGCGTGTGTGTGTGTGAGTATGGATGCATATACCCCCCATTCCTCTTTGAAAGCTTCAATCATATAATGTAACTAATCCGGAAGCATAAATTGGTATATTCCTTATCTCAAAGCTGATAAGAATATCCGGTCCAACCATATACGTAAGATTCGGTACATGCCATTATTGACCACTTACTTTAAGAGTGGAGTAGCTTTTTCTATCTAGGTGGAGAAGAGAAAGGAAATTAATTATAAGGTAAAAGAAGTTTGTATGCTCTTGTTTGATGAAATCTTACATTAAAGGTTCACAAAGCACACTTAAAGCTTAATGATTAGACCCTATAACACGTGTTTCGTCAAGTGATTCAAGCTTCTTGTCATCTAAGATAACATCAACAAGATTTTTATTTGTTCTTACCACCTAGTCATGGACTAGTCAGTGAATGCAGGGATATGCCAGAGTTTAGCCTGCTAGCCTCGAGAGAAAGAAAATGATAAAGGAGGTGATCATTTCAACGCATAGGCCGAAACATTGGGCTTTTAAACCTTATAAGGCCGTCCTTAAAAACATAGGAGCCCATTAACTTTGTGTTTGGAAAAGCCAGCCCAGCTCCATTGAAATGAAAATGTTTGGTTTTGATTTAACCAACTCCAGTCTATTTTGAATTTCGGTTAAGAGCAATCAAACCCGAATTGGGGTGGGATAAACTCGTCATTTCAGCTAAAACCCTAGCTACATAAACGAAGTATAAAAAGGAGGAAACCCTAGAAACAGAGAGTGAAGTGAGAGAAGAAGAAGACTAAGAGAAAATGCCGCCGAAGTTGGACCCGTCACAGATCGTGGACGTGTACGTCCGAGTCACCGGAGGTGAGGTGGGAGCAGCGTCATCACTCGCTCCAAAGATCGGTCCACTGGGTCTGGCGCCGAAGAAGATCGGAGAAGACATCGCGAAAGAGACAGCTAAAGAGTGGAAAGGTCTTCGAGTGACAGTGAAGCTGACAGTCCAGAATCGTCAAGCTAAGGTGACAGTGGTCCCTTCGGCGGCGGCGTTGGTCATCAAGGCGCTAAAGGAGCCAGAGAGAGACCGGAAGAAAGTGAAGAACATCAAACATAACGGCAACATTTCGTTTGATGATGTGATTGAGATTGCAAAGATCATGCGTCCAAGATCCATAGCTAAGGAATTGAGTGGAACAGTGAAGGAGATTTTGGGAACTTGTGTATCTGTTGGTTGTACGGTTGATGGTAGAGACCCTAAGGATCTTCAGGAAGAGATTAACAGTGGAGACATTGACGTTCCTAACGAGTGATTCAAGGTTTTTGTATCGTCTTTGATTTTTGTGTTTTTTTTTTTCGAGGGATTTTGCGTTTTAGTATACTATTTTGAGATTCTGAAAAGACGATTTGTGGTTTCGCACATTTGAAAAATCCTTTCTTGGGATAAATTAAAATGTTTCATTTCTATAATCTATCAGTTTGGTTTTTGAGTATTCAAAGGTTCAGGATGATATATATATATATGTATTGGTGTCATTGTTGAATGCATCACAAGACTCTTAATGTGAGCTGATTAGTAGTGTTCCATAGTTTTTTGATATCTCTATCTACAGTATTGAGATTTGAACTCACAATGCACTCGTTGCTTTTGCTATGTAACTGATTTGTAGAAAATCATGACAGGTGATGTGAAGTTTATTTGAGCAGTGTGCTATGGGTAACTTGATCGACTCATTTGTAGATGGAGCATTCAGTTTAATGGTTTATGTTGTCTTTGTAGAGAGTGCTGTCTTTATAGTAATAAGTTTTGGTTGTCCCATTTCCCCCTTTGAATAACGATCAGTGATGGTACTTCACTTTTTTAAATGATGACATTGTTGAATACCTTATTAAAAAGTCTGATACTGTAAGAATGTGGTAATTAGTGGAGTGTTTCTTTGGCTGTTGGTCTTGAACGGTTATGTTTTGATGGGAAATTTGTGTAGCTTATGTTAATCGTGTAGCCACTTAGCAGTGCTCTTCGTGTTGGATTACGTTTTGGTTGGGATAAACAATTCTTTGTCGACTTTGTTGTGCGTGTGTGAGTAATTGATATGATAAATGAACCAAATCTTGAGCTCTTACGTACTTTGTTGACCAGTAGTGTTGAAATCCTGTTTTAGTAAATAAACACTTTAGTGGGATAAAGATCAGGGTGATTGTCCAACCCAAACATGAAGAATCAGAGATACCCACTTTCAAGCTGTGATCAACAGGCTCCCTTATTAGTATCGGCGGCAGGGTTGTGGATTGGTGAAACCAGCAATCTCCTCACGCCATACCTCGTTAATCGAGGCTTGTTATGTGATGAGAAGAGTATGTTTCAGTGCATCTGGTTCTTGGGAAGCACCAAGTGTCAATAAAGAACCAATCGAGTGGGGTTGACGGACCCTGAGTGCAAACGAGAGAAGTAGGTAAGGTAATTCAGATAATCAAATTGCGCGAGAATAGCTGCAAAGGGCTTATATTAATTTTGTGATTATAGCATAGAAGCATATATAATCAATGTTGAGTCTCTAACGCTTGAGTTTATACACAATGTATGGTTTCGATCCAGACAAACATATATAACCAAAACTGAGGGTGTTGAGTTTGTGCCAGACGATGTGGCACCAATTTGACGCGAGAGCTCCCTGGTCTGATTAAGTCTAATAGAGACGACTTAGATGAGAAGTTGTAACACCAAGAATATAAAGTCCATTATCATATTTCAACTATAATCTGTGGTGATGAGTGTACAAAAGATATGTGGTGATCCTTCCTTCATTGTCACTAAATAATTTGTTGTTGTTCGTATCATTTAAGAGGCGATGGTGTAGTAGTACTCGATATATTTCATTTTGCTACAAAAGTAAACATGTTGCTGCAAAAGAATTATGATTCCTTTGGATCCAAAAAAAAAAAAACATTTAATTTAGTTATCTAAAAAAAAAAAAATACAAACTCTGAAACTTGCATCCATTCATGCTATTAAAATCAAAACCAAAATGCATAAACATGGCCACATGGATGTACGTATATATATGTGTGGTCTCACTCATCACACATTATATATAATTCATGTAATTAGATTGATAATATATAATATATGCATGCATCAAGCATGTAAGTCCAACATTAAATTGAATAATTCGGAGGGTTGAGGAGCAATTACATGTACAGAAGAGTTCGCCTGGTGAAGATAACATATAATAATAAGAGAGAGAGAGAGAGCTTAATCAACGTTGTTCGGATTTGTTGCATGTCATGGATCTCTCATTCTTATCATCTTCTCCTCTTTATTTGTTCTTTTCCTTATTTTTTCAATTCCAACTGTTTCGTTTGAGAAAAACATAAAACTAACCTCTTTACATTTTTAGTTTACTTTCTAACCAAAACCCGAAACGAAAACCATCTCTACACTACTATTCTACAAGTATTTTACATGAAAATTTATACTTTTTTTTTTTTGTTTTGTTTTGGCTATCCACCTGAAATTGTATATTTTTATACAGTTTTTATAATGTGGGTGAGATCATGAGATGAGACTTTGCTTGTTCACTGAATAAACCATTAATTGCAGAAATTTCTTGCACGCTAAAATGTAATTCTCAAATAAAGAGAGCATCTTTCTTCATTTGCTAATTAGTTAGGAAACCTTTATAAGATTCCTATTTCCGATCATACTTTTTGTCTCGCACTTTCTAATTTCCTATATATATAAAAATGTATATAATGTTGAAATTATATTCTAAACACAGGTCTAAACCCGTTAATGTCACATATATTATTAAATAAAGCATGAAATTATGACGGCGTTCGATATCGAAGTTGATATATATATAGACTTGTTTCGGAATACTTTATATGCATGTACAAAAACGTTAACAGATAAAATATATCATATTTATGTTTGAGTTTTATTAGAGTTTTTTGTTTTTGTTTTGGTTGTTTATTAGATGAAAAACCATCTTAACTTAGTATAATTGATTTCATATTATCGTTAAATAATTGAGGTTGAGATTTAAAAATAATAATATTACGGATATGAAATTTGACGTTGCAACAACAAAACAAAAAAAAAAAAAACTCATGGGTCGACCAATTAAATTAATACAAACACAAGAATGTCTAAATCGAGGGGTTGGTTGGACGGCTTAAAACAAGTTTATCCTCCTCTAATCATACAGTTTAAGACAGCTCGTTCCTTATTGGTTATGTTATTCGGAAATTGTACGCATAATATTCAGAAAAATGTTGAATTGAAGAAGCATCTCTACGCTTGGCTTAAGAATATTCGTGTAGACAAAGTATTGGCTTTAAGGATTTTTGCTTTGCTAAGTTACTATGATCATCAGTAAGATTAATTAAAAATCGTCATACTGTTTTAACAAAATAGAGATTTAAATCAGGTTAGCTAATCATTTCTTAGTAGTATTGACAAACATAATAACAAAACAGAGATGTTTCTCTCAATTCTCATAATACCACCTCCAGCTCATTTGAGGCACAAGATAATAAGATTCCTTTATAATTATTTCCCCCCAAAAATATGTTTTTAATTAACTGTCCACATCATTATTAACCACATTATTAATTATCTTATAATGTACTTATACCAAACCCTTGCACAGTCTCTATGTATATATACACAAACACACACAAACTGAAAAGCTACAAATCTGAAAAAACATTGATCAAAGTCATCTCTGTCTCTCTCATCATCTTTAGCCATGGCAAAAGACTTGGATGTGCAAGAGGGTGGAGCCCCGGCGGCCAGAGACTACAAGGATCCACCTCCCGCACCATTGTTGGACATGGAGGAGCTTGGGAAGTGGTCGCTCTATAGAGCCGTCATAGCTGAGTTCGTGGCGACACTTTTGTTCCTCTACGTCTCAGTCCTCACCGTCATCGGCTACAAAGCTCAAACCGATGCAACCGCGGGAGGGGTGGATTGCGGCGGCGTAGGCATATTGGGTATTGCTTGGGCTTTCGGTGGAATGATCTTTGTTCTCGTTTACTGTACCGCCGGTATCTCCGGTAAGTATGTTTCTACACAAACGTTCGAGTCACGGCACATAGATTTTCACGTATTAATAAAGTTATTAGTATTGTATAGTTTTTGATCAAAAAGAAAAGTATTGTATAGTTTAGATCACAATAATCTACGTATTCTAACTAGAGATGGTAAATAACTAAATATATATTTTCTTACTTTCTACTTTAAAAATGTCAATCAGTTCGGGTTTTGTTTCGGTTTATATAAACTAAAATACATCCTTACAATTCATTTGGTAAATCAATTTGTTTTCATGATGAAGGTGGTCACATAAACCCGGCTGTGACGGTGGGATTGTTCCTTGCTAGAAAAGTGTCACTGGTGCGGACAGTGTTATACATTGTGGCTCAGTGCCTTGGTGCCATCTGCGGTTGCGGTCTCGTCAAAGCATTCCAAAGCTCTTACTACACCAGGTCTCAAAACTCTTTCAAAATACTTTGGTTTATACTTTATAAGGTCTAGCTAATTAATATGATTATACTGTTTTACTAATTACAAATATTGGTAAATGATACTTAGATATGGAGGTGGAGCCAACGAGCTCGCCGACGGTTACAACAAAGGTACCGGACTAGGTGCAGAGATCATCGGAACTTTTGTCCTCGTTTACACCGTCTTCTCGGCCACCGACCCCAAGAGAAGTGCACGTGACTCCCACGTGCCAGTTTTGGCGCCGCTTCCCATAGGATTCGCCGTCTTCATGGTTCATCTAGCCACCATTCCCATCACAGGAACCGGAATCAACCCGGCTCGTAGCTTCGGAGCTGCCGTTATCTACAACAAGGAAAAGGCCTGGGATGACCAAGTAATCTATACCTAACTTTTATACGCATTTTGATCTATAGTTTATATATACGAAATGGTGTTTGATTATAATTTGATTATATGTAACTCTTCACATTAAAACCAAAAATAATGTTTGATTATAATTTGTTTGTTTTTGTATGATTGTAACAGTGGATATTTTGGGTTGGACCGATGATCGGAGCAGCAGCAGCAGCGTTATACCATCAGTTTATTCTAAGAGCGGCAGCGATTAAAGCTCTCAACTCCTTTAGGAGCTCTGCTTAAATCTTTTTCTATTTATTTTAATTTATCCACAAGTTAATCAAATTATGATTACCATGAAATTCACTACCACTGGCACTGGTCTCTGTATTTTTTTTTTTGTATGTTCTGTTTTTTTAAATCTTATGGAATCTCCCATTCGTGTAAATGTGGGTTATTATTAAATGTTGCTTTAAGATAAATCTCAAGTTTGCCTTTAATCTTTTCGTAGAGTTCACGTTAATTTTGCTTTTGATTCCATTTCTCTCTCGGTAATCAACAGATAATGATGTCATGTATGTTTTAGAATTCTCAACTTTGTAATTACATATAGGCCCTAATTGTCATCTATAGATATGCATGCATATCATAATATTATTATTATTATTACTATTTATCTTTTAAAAAATGACAAAACAATGAAATCAAAAATAGAAACAATGTGCAAAACCAAAGTTGTGTAGTGGAGGACCTGATTAGTTAAATTTCCTTAAACTAGTTTTTACTTTTCCGTTGCGGTTCCTTCAAGCTAACAACTCTTGATGCATCATTCTTTTGGCACCAATCCTACCCTCAAAAATATGAACAATATGATTATATGAACATATCTTTATAACCCTATTTTTTAATATCATGTTAGATATAGTTAGAACATGTAAATGCAAACGATAAAAACTTATAGATATATCAAACAGAAATTATGTACATTAATATATACAACTTTCTTTTGTACAGTTAAAAGATTAATTGTTCACGTTCGTTAGAAGAAAAGAACACTTATTTTGTAGAGGGAAGTTATATATAGAAGATTGAAAACAAACAAAAATCGGATAATTGCTCTCCTCACCCATCAAAAAAACACTTTTTTGTTCTTTTCTTGATATTATGCAATCATACAAATTTGAACTTCAAGCAACAACTATGATCTCCTCTATAACCAACATACTACATATATAAACCCCAAAAAACAAACACATGTACACAAAGTCACAAACTAAACAAAAAAAAACAAACACTTTTGCAACATGACATACCTAACTCACTCTTTGCTCTTCTTCTTCTCTTGCTTCTCTTTGCTTCTTTGTGTCTCCATTGCTGGGAGCAGACCTGTTCATGGTCCAGCCTATACAAACCCATCTGCTTTCTCTCCGGAAGCTTACGATTTCTTCCACCCAAAATCATCAGTCCCTGATCACAATAACCCACCAAAAAACTCACCTTCTTCACCATCGACATCCTCACCTACACCTTCGCCTTCAAAGACATCCATCGTAGAAGCAGATTCACAAGGAAGTACTAAAGTTTCATCAGACGAACACACAACAAGTGAGAGTCGCAGAGATGAAGAAGGACGAGGGGAAACCATTGGAGTAGTGTTAGGCCTTTCTTTCGTAGCATTTCTCTCTTTGGCAATCTTCTTTGTGATCAAGAAACGACGTGCTAGTATGATCCGCACTATTGTGACTCACTCTGATGCTTAAATTATCCACAACGATACTTCTTTCTTTTCAAGTTCTTTTGTCAATTCTTATATAAAAAAAAAAACTATGTAGAAAGTTACAATGTGTCGAAGAAGAGTATTGAATCCTAGGCGCTATGGTTGAGTTTGTTTTATCAAAGTTTTGGTATATTTCGGTTTGAATTCAGCTTAATATATAGCTTAAATTTGTAGAATGATTTTACATGTAAACATAGTATAAGATCAAATTGCTAATCAAATAATATTAGCTATACTTAATTCCAATTAATTTGTGTCAAGTTGGTTGACTTACACTAAAATGGTTTAAGGTAAAGATCCGGTTATTGTGTTTTGGTAGTAAAACCAACCGGTTAATAAATTACTCGGATTCATTTCAGGTTATAAACATTTCAGTTTTGTTTCATTTATTATTAGTCAATGACATAGAATATTCCCTAATAATCCAATTTAATACTCTATCCTAAACGACGACGTTTGTTTTGGTAACAACGAACATGCGTTATTCAGTAGTAGTTGTTAATTTATTAGATCTCAAGTCTCAACCATCTCAAGAGTTCACAAACAGAGTCGCACACACTAAAATGGCGTTCCGCGTTTTTCTCCTCTTCTCTCTCACCGCTCTTCTCATCTTCTCCGCCGTTTCTCCTTCTTTCGCCGCTTCTTCCTCCGACGACGTCGACGATGAGGATCTCAGCTTCCTCGAGGATCTCAAAGAAGACGACGCTCCCGGCGCTGACTCACTCGCCTCCTCAGCTGGACTTGACGATTTCGAAGGAGGTGAAGACGAAGATCCTGATATGTACAACGACGATGACGATGAAGAAGGAGATTTTTCCGATCTAGGAAATCCAGATTCCGATCCGTTCCCGACGCCGGAAGTTGATGAGAAAGATGTTGTGGTAATCAAGGAGCGTAACTTCACTGATGTGATTGAGAATAACCAATACGTTTTGGTTGAATTCTATGCGCCGTGGTGTGGTCATTGTCAGTCTCTTGCTCCCGAGTATGCTGCAGCTGCGACGGAGCTTAAGGACGCTGGTGTCGTTTTGGCTAAGATCGATGCGACGGAGGAAAATGAGCTAGCTCAGGAGCATAGTGTTCAGGGATTTCCGACTATTCTTTTCTTCGTTGATGGTGAGCACAAGCCTTACACTGGAGGAAGGACTAAGTAAGTGAAATTGGGTTTTGGTATTAATTTCAATTTTATCGTCGGATCTAATTTGTAGTTAGAATTGCTGAGTATTTTTTTTTAAAAAATGTTGTGATTTAGAGAAACAATTGTGACATGGGTGAAGAAGAAGATAGGCCCCGGTGTGTATAATCTAACTACATTAGATGATGCTGAGAAAGTGTTGACTTCTGGGAACAAAGTCGTCTTGGGATACTTGAACTCATTGGTGGTATGGTTTCTCTATTCACTTGGTTTATAGTCTTTCTGAGTCGTTGCTGTATTTTTTCTTAAGGTAAACACAATTGGATCTTTAAAATGTAATTTTTTTACAGGGTGTTGAGCATGACCAACTTGCTGCTGCTTCTAAAGCTGAAGACGATGTGAACGTCTATCAAACAGTAAATCCTGATGTTGCCAAGATGTTTCACATCGATCCCGAGTCTAAAAGGCCTGCTCTTGTCCTAGTGAAGAGTGAAGAGGAGAAGATTAGCCATTTTGGTTGGTTTTCTGTAAATTTCTGTTATGCATTGATTCAATGGTCTTGTTCTAGGGATTTTGCTTATATGTTTGTATTATTAATCTGCAGATGGGGAATTTGTTAAGTCTGCTATAGTTAGTTTTGTGTCTGCCAACAAGCTTCCATTGGTGTCTGTTTTCACAAGAGAGACTGCACCGGAAATTTTTGAGAGTGCAATCAAGAAACAGGTGTGTCACTGTTTTAAGTAGGATTCTTCTATTCAAATTCGATGATGGTTTAGGTCCATCTGCTAACATGAAAGTATATGATCTCTTTACAGTTGCTGTTGTTTGCAACCAAAAAAGACTCTGAAAAGGTTCTTCCTGAATTCCAAGAAGCAGCGAAATCATTCAAAGGAAAGGTGAGAACATAAGTCTAGTCTGGTTTAGACCAATATTTGATATTTATGTTTTGGATCAAGACGAATCCATGAAGGAGGATCTTTGGGGGCAACAATGGCTTTACGTTATCTTGGTAATGTTACTTCTAAGAAGCCTTTTGTTTCTTGCTACAGCTCATCTTTGTATCTGTGGATCTGGATAATGAGGATTATGGAAAGCCAGTCGCTGAATACTTTGGTGTGTCCGAAAATGGTCCTAAAGTAAGTCGATTGTTTTTATTTTGTGATGGGCTTAAGAATTGCACATTTATAAGAATCTGAGTCCTAGATCTTTTCAACAAGCACATACTGACTATATCTCAAATGTTGGTCTGTGTAAAGCTTATTGCCTACACAGGAAATGAAGACCCGAAAAAACACTTCTTTGATGGCGAGATCAAGTCAGATAAAATTAAGGTATCTCTTTGAAGTTTCTTTCACTCATAAAATTTCTACTTCACGGTGACATGTAAAGATTGTTGTTTGGTAAACTTAAACCTCTAACCTACTGCAGACATTTGGAGAGGATTTCCTGAATGACAAGTTAAAGCCTTTCTATAAGTCAGACCCCATTCCGGAAAAGGTAAAGCTGTTTATTTTTCATCTTCAATTTCCAATCGTCTTGTTGGCTCATGTTAAACTGGGACTTAAAATTTATGCCACAGAACGATGCTGATGTGAAAATTGTGGTTGGAGATAACTTTGATGAAATTGTTCTGGACGATTCTAAAGATGTTCTTCTCGAGGTACATATTGTATTAAAATCCATCAATAAATCGATATGGATTCACATCTTCTCTTTACATCGATGCTTTGTTCTTTAAAACAAAACTCAGGTCTACGCACCATGGTGTGGCCATTGCCAAGCCCTTGAGCCAATGTACAACAAGCTTGCAAAACATTTGAAAAATATTGATTCTCTCGTCATAGCCAAGATGGATGGAACAACTAACGAACATCCCAAGGCCAAGGTAATAAAGTTAATGCAATTCATCTCTGCACCGAGAACCTTTCTATGATCAAAGCCTCAGGGATGATTTTATCTGGTTTTGCAGGCTGAAGGGTTCCCTACAATTCTCTTCTTCCCTGCAGGCAACAAGACTTCAGAGCCGGTAAGTTCTGATTCTCCTGGCTGCAACACATTTGTCTTCTTGGTATCATCTGAAACTGAGAAAACCTTGTATTATTGTGTTGTTGTGTGGAGCAGATAACGGTAGATGCAGACCGCACTGTGGTTGCATTTTACAAGTTCTTGAGGAAACACGCAACAATCCCGTTCAAACTGGAGAAACCTGCATCAACCGAATCTCCTAAAAGTGTCGAGTCCACACCAAAAGTAGAAACTACCGAGACCAAAGAAAAAACCGAGAGCACGGCAAAGAGTAGCCAAAGTGACTCAAAGGACGAGTTGTGATCCAAAGCCAAGAAAAGGGTACAAGTTATATTATGTCTCCTTATGTATGACCGGAATTGTTTCATCATGAGTGTGCGACTATAGAGAAAGATGAAGACAATTAATACTATTAGTTTGGGAAAGACAATTTCCACTCTTAGATTTGGTTTCACTTATCTAAATGTAGAATGCCAAACTTTACTTTAGTGTCACACATTGAAATAAAGATCAGATGATACATCATTGACCCGGAAAACCAGAAGAACCCGTTTACCGTATACGTAATATATGATAATGATATGAGCTGAATTGACCCAAGTTAAGTCCACCACTAAAAGTGAAACTTTTCTTCGTTAGGCGTCAACATTATAAAGTGGTTACACTTTGCTTTACGATTGTCACAATTGATTCTTTTATATTCCCTCCTTACAATTTGCTTCTTCCTACTAAGATACACCAATTACTTCCACTAATAGAAAAAATAAATTAAAATTTTGAAATTCCCAAAGCATTATTGAGTATAAGTACCAAAGCAAATCTCAGTGTTACTCATATCAACTTTAAGTGGAAAATCAATAAATTGACTATATGATCTGATGCTTCGCTCCGTATCTAGGTTCTATACACTTGTGACGTGGCGAATCACCATTTGTCATAAGCATCCTATATATTCCCCTCCATCTCTTCAAGTCTTCAGAGAGATCAGAAACAAAGAGAGAGGTTTGAACCTTTGAGATGATGATGAAGGTTGGTTTCATGATTGTAGCTCTTTTTATCGTATCCGTTGAGATTTCAGCTAAAGAAATTTCACCAAAGGTGTCTCCTACTGAGCATTCGTCTTCTCCGCCTCAGCCAGAGAATGAAATGTCTCCATCTCCGACAATGTCTACTGAATACGATTATTCGTCTTCGTCTCAGTTTACAGAAGCCAGTGATCTCAATTACACTGAGAATATCAGAAAGGGAGGCAAAAAAGCCTCCGCAGGAGACAAAACTGGAATTGTTGTCGGAGCCATTGCAGCGGTGAGTATGGTCGGCTTCGGTGGAGGATATTTGTTGAAGAAACGGCGTGAGAACGTTCGCCGTTCGCGGTATGGATACGCCGCCACTGAATTCTTCTGAAGATCTCGTCACCGCCTTCAAAATTCTCAAAGTCTTCTTTCTTTCGGTATATATTTGTTTGTTCGTTCTTATAAATCTTTTGAATATGCAAATTTGTGGTGTAGCATTCGAACAAGATGCAAAAGTGAGTTCTGTTTATTGAGAGATTCACAACATTGTATATTGAAAAAACAGAGAGAACATGAGGCATCAGATTGTTTTTGTCTAATTGAAAAATGAAACACCACAAGGAAATAAATAACTTCATTTTTACATTCACTTATCTTCTTCCAATCTAGCCAGGATCGATTCAGCGAAACTCTGTTGCCTGTCAATTTAAAGGAAGACAAAGTAAACATAAAAAAATTGTTGGTATTAATTCAAGGATCACTAAAGTTGAGCCTCTAAATTTGTGCAACTGCCAAGTTTGGATATAATGGAAAGTCTTGCTTTGGCTTCTGAAAATTCTTAAGAGATTTAGCTAGTTCTACAAGGTAATGACGTAGAACATACTTGCGTTCGCTATGCTTGGAGCTTGGTCTCGAATACTTCAAGTATCCATCCCAAGGGACCTTTTTGAGACCCGCCCGAGTAGATATCATGTCTCTAACCCTGTCACAAGTATATAAGATGGATGTAAAAGAATGTCATGCCAGGTAATTAAAGAAAAATTTCTTAGCATATGATTTCTCTGATGAAAGACCAAGGGAAGAGTGTTTTACCTCTCTGCAAACTCAATCCCTGTTTCACCGGGCCTTATAGTTTGAGGTTCCAAGTACCACACTTCACACACAACAGCCCATGATGTCATGAGTTGCAGCAAGTGCATAGTAAATGATTGTCTGCAAAGAGCATGCAAGACAATTTGTTACCAAGACAAAGAAATGACCCTAAATATTTCGCACTAGAAGAAAACTTGTTTCAATCAGAACTGAGCAATATATCAGCAAAAAAAGAGTGTATAATAAGTTAGAAATGCTTCTTCATCCCTTTCAACAATACTTCAGAAATTCAAAATTATCTTTGATATGAAAGTCTTAAAGAAAATACCCTTACTTTCTGCTATTCCAGAAGGCATCAACAAAAATCTTGTTGTATTTAATTGCAATTGGACAAACTGTGCAGTCCAATTCAAAAGCACCCTTAACATTATCATGAAGAGAATCAGAAACTATAACATAGTACGAGGCTAAATCACATCAAAGTTAGGTCCAAAATACCTTCTTAAACATCACTGTATAGTTATTATTTACACATGTCCCCTCAGGAAATATGAGAAGAGGATTATTGTCAGCTCCTTGGACATGGTCCCTTAACCTGATTTATGAGTCATATTCCCATAGTTAGCATGAGTAGAATAAGTAACAGACATTTAAAAGGTATAAGAGTTATGCATACTTTCTCGCTACAATTTCACGATCCTTTGCCTCTGAACGATTGAACCAGATACATCCTACACTCTCTAATATTGTGCTTTGCAGAAGCCCTTCATATATAAAGCAACAAAAGTCAATCACGGCTTTCACAATAAAGCATGAAAGGTAAACCAATCAGTCATCACTAAATCGACCACAAACCTATTAAAACTAAACAGTCATAAAGGTCATAAGCCACTTCTGGGGTACTCTAATAGCCAGAAACTTACCAACCCAACCAGGATGCTTCTGCATTATAACAGCAAATGCAGTCATCTGCTCCAAGACGATGAAATCAATCATCGAAGTATGGTTGGCAACATAAACCTGTTTAACCCAGATCATAATGTAAGCATAGGTAGACGAGCATAAAAGAGATACAAAGTAAAGTTTTTATAAGGAAACATAACCTGCTTGGGACGGATGCTAGGCCGTGGCCCGTGATACTTGACAACTCCGGTCCATGAGGCAACAAAAAAACTGCATATCATTTCCACCAAGACCCTCTGGTAACACAGAAAAAGAAAGTAAAATCTTCTTGAATTCACAGTGAAAACGTAATCAGAAACAGAGAATCCAACCCACCTCTATCTTTTTCCTCAATCTATCTTGACCTTTCAGCAGATAATTTACGGGGATAAACAATGAAAGGAAGATAATCCACCCAAAAGCTAAAGTGACGACCCTGCAGATATTTTTTTAAAAATGAACTGCTTAGTGCAAGCACACTGGCTGTGAATCGTAACTTTGAGCCAAGAACAAGAACTACTAAATAAATAAAAGGAACAAACCTCAAGGGAAAGAGGATACAGTATCTAACAACAACCCCAAAGCACCATAGTGGGAATAAGTAAATGTTCCAGTTCCAAGGTTCTGGAGGATTCGATTTGAAACATCTTGTGAACGAGTCCTGAAAAATCATACCCAAAAACCAACAATGACATACGGTTACAGAGATAAAAATCCATCCTTTAGCTCATATATTTGAAGTCTAAGAGAGTAATCTAATCGTGACACAGATTTGGGTTTAGTCGAGACATCATACATCAACAATGGCACCAGCAGCTTCAGTGAGAGTGGGAGAGATATCGAGCAAGTCACGCCTGCAATCACTCACGAAGAAGGGTGAATACTCAATCACCCGATCAGATCAAATTCAAATACACAGAAATTGCTTGAGAGAATATACAGGCTGAGCTTGCCGCGTGGTTCGTGGATAGAGGAACCGGAAGGAAGGTAATCTTCGAGGTTAGGGTGATCGAGATCAAGCTCGGATCTTGAAGTCACGAGCTTCCCTGCGGTACTGCTCATGGTTTACGTCGCCGGTGATTGTTTATTGGCGTTTTTCCCAATCTTCAATTCTCCGATGAGAGAGAGAGAGAGAGCTTTACCATTCACGAGGCTTTTACTTTGTCTGAACGATACTGTAATCGGCCCATATTAGTATAATCGGCCCATTTAGTATATAAGGCCCAATTTGATCAACCGAATATCAAACATGTTTTGAACACCTTAAGTAGGTTTTTGCAGATTGTTTTTCAATCAAGCCTTGAAGAGAACTTTTCTCTTGAGATTTTCAATATGAAAGAGAGCTTGGTCACTTATGAGGAGTATCATGTATTTTGCATTAAACTTGTAGAAGGTTCTTAAAAATTTACAAGTAATCAAAGTTACTCCTCCACCGTCTATTTTTTTTTCTTCCTATCCTCACTAAATTTAGATGTCAGAAACTACATCTAGTACTAACTTTTAGGAGACTTTTTAATATTGTTATTGCTACATTAACCATAAATTATCTTACTAAAAATGGTCTACTTTTAAAAAAGAAAAGAAAACAATTACTATCTTTGTAACGAAATTCACTTATAAAATATCAGATAATAGATCATAATTTTCCAAACACAAACTTAAACTTGAATACCTTGCATTACAAAGAAAAAGAAAACAAACTAAGAAATGGCTTCATCAAAATTTCAACTTGTTGCAATTTTCGTGATCTTCTCTCTCGTTGTCACAGCCCAATCCCAAGGTAAATTATAGGTTTTTCCTTCCACAATGTTAGGTTTACATTAACAAGTGCTTCTTTTAATTTTGTTTTTAAATTAAAAACATTCCAAAACTCCACAGATTTTATGTTTATGAAGAGTTTCAAAATTAAAGTTTAGAAAACTATCCTAGATGATTTTGTAAATTTGAAAAATTAATCGAAATTATATTGTAATAAAAAAAGAGAAGTCAAAACAATGGGTTATTTTTAAACCAAAACATGTTTTTGTGGTATGTAATATTTTTGTTTTGTTTAAGGATCTTTGACCAAATTATATGAAATTCACAGAAAAAGATATAATTGACGGACCATGCCGCTTAAGAGGAACGTGCAAGAGCGACAACGACTGCGACACCCATTGCCACAGGAGCACCGACCCTACACCTTTGGACGGCCACTGCCTCTTGGACAATCCCACCGGTCCTGTTTGTTGCTGCTTATTTGATTAAATCCACATATATATACATCACCTTATTTTATTCTTCAAATCTCTCCATCGTATGTTCCTTAAACTAATGATGCAAAGATTTATAAATTACGTCTCAATTATATGAAGTAAAAAGAGAAGTGATTTTGTGAATCTTGTGATATACATATATTTCTTGGTTTGCCATATTAACTACTTGCATGCCATGAAAGTGTTATCATTATAAGAGAATGGCTATTTGTGAACAAATGTATAACGTATTTGTAACTCGTTTCTCTTAGTTTTATTTCGCTCGAGAACTGTTATCATATTAGAGGTTTGTTGAATATGATGTAATACAACAACAAATACATGAGATATACACTTAAAATGTATTTTATCTTCTGGCTCAGTTTACAGAGAAAGGCCTACCATCTCCACTGTTTGAAATCTACTCATCAGCCACGGGTGGATCTACCCAACGACCATGTTCTTTTATCAGACCAATCAGAGCATCTGTTGCCTCCGTCATAGCAATCCCACGCTTCACCACCGTCTGTCCTCAAAAGTATCAACATTTGGACCGAATATATAAACACTATCACTAAGAAACCAAAGAGAGTAAAGGTGTTACCTTTCCGACATAAAGGTCGATTTTCCCAGGAGAACCACCTACATATCCGAAATCAGCATCTGCCATTTCTCCTGGTCCATTCACAATGCAACCCATGATTGCGATCTGCACCATTATTCAACTCGTTTACATTCAAAAACAGAAGGAAAAAAACAAAACTTCCCTTGAAAACATGTATAAGAGTCTTTGAGTTTTAACCGAAACGCCAGGTAAATGTGAAGTCTTTTCTCGAATCTCGGCGCTAATTTCTTGCAAGTCGAATAGCGTTCTTCCACAAGACGGACACGATACGTATTCCTGCAACGATTTTACAAGTTATTACTTCTCCTTTTCAAGAAAAAAAACCCGCAGAGATAGTGTATCTTTTTGCTTTTACCGTCTTTGTGTTACGCATTCTGCAGCCTTGTAATAAGTTGAAGGAAGTATTACGAAGAAAATCAAAATCTTGGTCAGGTGCTTCAAGCATTACACCATCGCCGAGTCCATCCACAAGAAGGCCTCCAGCGTAAGTCCCTGCGTGAATCACCAATTCGTCTCTGCATTGTGCGCAAGAAGAAAGAAAACACAATAAGATCAAAAGTGAATTTTCCATTCACTGCACAGAGCTTGAAATTCGTTATCTACCTGTGAGTTCCAGTTGGGAAATTTATGTGGTGAATAACAGGAAAGTTAACTGAATTCTCAGATAGGAACTCGAATAACCTGCAAGTCCAGGAAAAGAATATCATTTAGCGCTTATAAATCAGAAATTTTAACTCAGCAAAAATCAGATATTAAGAATTATCTATTATTACCTCCGAGCTGCATGTACTCTGCTAACTTTGTCTTCATTGAAGGGTACATCATGGAGAATCATAGTAGCATCGATATTTTTGAGTATTTCAAGCTTCTCGTATGGCTCATCACCACTGAGAGAGACAACCAAGCGTGTACCTGAAATAATCGAAGCTAAGAAATACTGAAAGAAATTTGTTCTCTTTATTATACTTTCTTTCAGGTAAGAACCAGGTCACCTTCAGGAAGAAGCTTGTAAGCACCACCAGATAGTTCCTTGAGGTTGACAAGAACCATTGCATTGGGCAATGGCTTTGTGAGTTGCTCTGATAAGGGTGTTATAACTCCCATACTGACATCAATCAACCGTTTTAGTGCCAAACGCTGTAAACAGAACTCAATGTTTTTGCTCGGCCATGTCAAATCTTAAAGTAAAATGATATAAAGAAAGGGTGATTCTTACAGCCACATGATCATCTACAGGCGGTAGCTCTCTTAATAAGATTGAATCAACAGTTGCCAGATCCTATACAAGCATTTCTCGGGAAAGTAAGAATTGATAACCAATATAATATTATTACAGTGAGACGGCGTCTCTCATCAAAATATACTGAACCATATCTCACCTTGAATGGCATGCCTACGACAAGCTTTGTAGCGAGCGATCTGTAGAGGAGTTCAGGTGCCTAGAGGGAAAGCAAATTAGTGAGCAGAAAGAAAATGACCCGTTCTATAGATTGCATTAAGGAAATGGAAGATGGAGAGAATACTGAAGAGTATTTCTAAATACTCACCTTTAGTTGGTCCAAAGAAATTGACATTAGAACAGAACCATCACGGTGAAGAACACCTCTGTAATCGACCTCTTCTCCCTATAGTTCTCAGGATTTGTTTTTTATGTTCTTCAATACTTGAAAAGGACATCATGAAGTACATGAGTTTTTTTTTTTATTTTAAATGTATAGTCTTACCTCTTTTTGTACAGGTAGATCACCGGTCCGACGCTGGAAATCAAAATAATGCCTATGCTTTTCTTCAAACGGAGCCTAGTACACAAACGAGTTGCATTAGTCCCATAATGTGGAAAATATACTAGAGAAGCGTCTGAAAAAGAATCATTCATACAACGCCTTGTTGAAGTTCAGCAGCTTTGGTCCCAAGGTTGGCCAATCGCCTGCAGGGATCTATCTCCTCTTCTGGTGGCTCTGTCAGTGAAACTCTAATTGTGTCACCTAGCCCGTCCTGCAATTACAAACAATCATTGCCATACATGAACTGTTAAAGTAAAGATCTTTCCCTTTTGTTATGTAATGAGGTACCTGCAGAAGCGTCCCAATTCCAATTGCAGATTTCATCCGTCCATCTTCTCCTTCTCCTGCCTCAGTAACTCCCAAATGCAAAGGATAATCCCATCCATGAACATACATCTCAGCCACAAGCAAACGGTATGCCTGAACCATGATCACCGGGTTGCTCGCTTTCATTGAGAAAACAAAGTTGTGATAGTCCAATTTCCGACATATCCGGGCAAACTCAAACGCAGATTCAACCTGTGCGACAGAGCTCATGTCAGACAACAGTACATGTGTATTAAGAGAAACCATTGTAAAGTAATCAAGAATTTTCACCATTCCTCGTGGAGAATCCCCATAATAGCTCATGATACGGTCAGAAAGACTTCCATGATTTGTCCCTATACGCATTGCTCTTCCGTATTTTTTGCATTTCTCAACCAAAGGAGTGAAGACCTAAAAAATATAAAAAATAGTAACACCGGTAATAAAGACTGATTAAACTTTAAGGGTTTCAGTGTTTTACAAGACAAGTAAGACAAAGGTTTCCTTCCACCTGTTCAATATGCTGGAGTTCTTTCTGATATTCATCATCTGTATATTCTATCGTCTCAAACTGTGCCCGTCTGTCAGCTGCAAAATCAAATTTTTTGATCATTCTCAAGTTAAAGAACCAAGTGAAAGATAAAAAAACAGTACCAAAATTTCCGGGGTTGACGCGGATCTTGTCAAAGCATTCAGCGACTCGTAAAGCTACAGCAGGGGCAAAATGAATATCTGCTACCAGAGGTATATTGTAACTGTTAACCAAGACGCAAAACACCAGTTCAGTTTCATACGACTCAAACTGTACATACAAAGATAGAAAACTCAGCACAGTCATCGACTTACTTAAGCTGAACAAGTTTATCTTTTATTTCAAAGCACGCATCCGCCTCTTTCTTCCCTTGAACAGTTATCCTCACAATATCCGCTCCTTTATCTGCTATTCTCATAACCTATAATCACAGACCGAACAATAATAAGCTTACGGTGCAACACAATTAAATCATCTGACGCAAGAAATTCATATATTGATGTACACAAATACGCAAGGTCCATATTTCAAACTGTAAATATAATTTTAAGGGACAGAAGGAAAAACCTCATCAACAGTTCCAGCAATATCTTTTGTATCCGATGTAGTCATGGTCTGAATCCTAATAGGATGTTCGCTTCCAAGGGCGACATTTCCAACCATAACAGTACGAGTCTTCCTTCTCACCGTCTTATGCAATGACTCACAATATTTCTGTCTTGGCACTACAAAACCGATTATAACACACAATCATTCACTCTAAACGAAACCTCCAAAAAGGATTTCTTTTTATAAAAAGAAAAATGATAACTTTGCATGAAGCTGTTATGCATATACCTAAGAGAGGGCTTCCTTCTGATGCAGGTTGAAGCTCAGCTAAATCAGAGCCTTGGTTTGAATTACGGATGACTGAAACTCTTCTTCTAGCAGATCTTAGACTCCTCATATCACAAATTCTGACAATACTCATGCTTTTACCAAACCCAAGTTTCGAATCCGGGATCTTAACCCCGGAAACCGGAGCTGGCAACACTCCAGTCGCCATTTTGAATCAAAGTAACTGCATAGTCATTCACAGAACAAAATCAGCTGAATTTGTTATTCTTCTAAAATCCATTTTCGTTACTGTGAAGATCAAAGGCAATTTAACAACAAAAGCACAACACTTTCTTTTAGCTTCAGTTCTGATTCTGAAGCAAATAAAATCAACAAATTTTTCCCAAACCCAGAGTTACCCAACTAAATTATCTTCGTCCCCTCGATGAAATCGCACAGAAACTCATCAAAACCGGACAAAAGAACCAATTTGAGAGAACCCTCTAGAGATTCTCTAAAGCATGAGAAAAGTACCTGACGACGAGCCAAAATCACGCAATTTGAGAAACCAGTCTTGAAACCAGGGAATCAAAAAATAGAGAAGAGAATGTTCGAGAGGAAGAAATTAGTGGTGAGAAGAGTTTGAGAGGGATTGATATTTCACATATAAGAAATTAACAAGTATATGAAGCTGGGTGGTGAAAGGAACTGTGGATAAAACGTTTTAGAGTGTGTCAGAAACAGCCAAGAGGACCAATGACAATTTTTTTTAGTCCAAGTTTTAGCACAAGTACAGTATTAGGAATCAAATTAGAGCACGGATGCGTGTAAAATGAAATTGAGTTTCTACATAAGTTTATGAGATTTTCCTCTATTAATTTGGGTGTGTGTGTGTTTTTTTTAAGTACGACACCATTCGCTTTTAACAGTTGCCACGTTTACAAAACAGACATGGATTGGTTTAATAGTATTCTTATTCCATTAATGACCAGTAATAATAAACTTGAGTAAAAATTATGAAACGGTCCACCAAGTTTCTTTAAACTACAGATGCGTACCACGAAAATTGGAGGTAGCATACGATCAAAATCTAAATCAACAACTATCTTCTCGTATTACAAACTAAACATACATATCTTGAACCAATAGCAAGGATCTATTAAAGAACCAAAGCAAAACCTCAGCATTCTTTTGCAAGTCAGACTTCACATTCATCTTTTAGCTTTCTTCTCTTAACTAACGCTACTCTTCTTCTTCTTCTTCTTCTTCCTCCAGCAAATACTTTTCAAGAATCGCCACTGTTGCATGCTTTGCGCTGAATCAAAGACAAGATGAACATATTTTTGTGAGTAATTAGCTCAAAGACCCCACAAAGATTTATACTTTAAATCCAATAGTTCACACTAACTGATCTAATCATCAATTGCATTACCTTCCCGCTCTAATGATCTTATACTTTCCGGCATTAGTCAGATCGACAATTGTAGATCCTGCGCGACCCGATGGAAGCAAACCACCATCATAGACATAAGCACAATGCTGCCAGATATTCTCAAAATCTTTAACACAAACGCTGCTTCTATCACCGCTTAGATTAGCACTTGTAAGAGCCAACACACTGCCTGAACCTCTCGCTACTTCCCTAATGAACTCACAATCTGGTACCCGTACTCCAATAGTATCAATCCCAGGATTCAAGGACTTTTCAAGAATGCTTGATTCACCTGTTTAAAACACTAAAAGAACACTCTCACATAAAGAGATCATATCGATGCAACCACTCAAAGAAGAAGATGCAAACCTCGTTGAAGTACGAGAGTAACTGGACCAGGCAAGAGTGAATCGAGCAAACCATGAGGTAAGTGATTTGTTGTAGCAACTCTCTTGATGTCTAATACATCGCCAACACATATGGCTAAAGGGCTTGTAAGCTTACGCCCTTTGATCTCATAAATCCGGTTAACCGCTTCTAACGAACTGTTATGTTGTATATAATCACAACGTTTAGTCCAGGCAATGTAAAAGCTAATATTGCAGCTACAAAAGTGAAGATTTTTCATATTACCAAGCATCACAAGCGAAGCCATAAAGCGTATCAGTGGGAACAGCTATAACTTTCTCGGATTTGATCGCTTCAATAGCTTCTTTTGCATAGGCTTCGGTTGCAGGATGAACAAAACATGAATTGCTCACTACACAGGTTTCAGCTCTCTCCAAACTCCAAACCATCTTCTTTTGTAATCCCCATCTCAATCTTCTACTGTGGTTAGCAATCGAAAAGAATCTTAACTCGGAAACTCCTATCACACACACATGACAATAATGGATTTATGAATTCGAGATTGGACCTTGCGACCTAAAGAGTTATCTTATTTTGGTTCCTTTGAAAAGAATCCAAATTTTCTCAGAAACCCCAAAAGCAGTACTGATTGAAAAAACCAACCTTTACGTAGGAGAGGAGAAGACGGCACCGGTAAGATTACGGGAAGTTTCTCAGCGAGCCTCGTGGAGAGATTCATCGTTGTATAAATCTCATACACCGTCGTCGAGAAGAAGAGCTAAGACTTAAGCCTAAAAGTCAGAAACAGAGAAGAAGAGTTTTCAGGAAATTGGCACGTGATTGCCTCGTGACTATTTTGTTTTGTTAATTTTCCTTTTAATATTCGATATTATCTTTTATTATACAACAAAAAATTGAAGAAGCTTTAAAACCAATACTACTACAAACCTTTGATTTGCAGAGATTGCGCAAATCCAAGTTACAAGCTTACTACAACAATTCAAATGTAAAATGTGTATATGCAAAGAAGCAAAACAAACTAAAGAACAATCTTTAAGCAGTTCTTGTTCACTTTCTTTTATACAAATCATTACATAACATTAACCGAACTAACAGTATAAATGTAAAATCATCTCCCCACTTTCAGGCTGGCTCTACGAGGCATTAGGATGATGCCGAGAGGTTGTTGCATCCAGCTGTTGGGGTGGTTGTGTCAGCGTCTGAGCCTGGTTCAGCTGTTCCTCTAGCCTCCTGGCTCGCCACCTTCGTTTCCATCTCACAAACTCAACCATCACTGAGCTTCCGCATATGCAGACACCAAATCCAGCAAATGTTGACAGAAGAACCGACAGAACTGGTTGCAACTTCACCTGAAACCACCGGGAGATCGGATTTGAGCAACACATAATTTGAGTTTATAGACTGATATATATATATGATACAGGTTGCAGCTTTATGTTCATTTTTGCCTAAGAGATCTCTAAACTCTCGATCATTATCGGCTAAACCAAAAGCTGGCAAGTTCTTTTAGCTTCAAGGATATATTTAGCAAGGAAAAGGTAAAAAGGCGTTGAAGAGTACTAACCACGGAATAAAATATATGGGCGAAGAGAACCACCAAAGCAAACTGGACAGATGCGTAAATCCAGACAAATCTTCTCATGACTGCATAGGAATATTCCAGAGCTAAAAACGTATCAGAGTGGAGGAAACACATTGAGAAGAGTTTTTTTTCCAAAAGAAGACCTACCCATGGTTGACGCGGTCATGGATGCAAGAAGACCAAGAATACAAGAAAATGGCAGAGATATCGCGATTGCACCCGTACCCAATTTCTCAACCTGTAAATAAGACTTAATATTATAGATATCTGTCTGTAGTATATCTGTATGTAAGTCTATATCAAGAAGCTTGTTTTTGTTAAGGCTGGTTATAAATAGTAGAGACAGATTACCAAGAGCTGCTCGAGAAAGCAGAAGTAAGCGAGCATACTGATGATTACTAGAACCGGTACCTCTTGCCAGACCCTGTTGAGAAATAAATGCAGAGACTTAGTCAAGGTTTCCTATTTAACCATAAGAGAGATTGGATGTTTTGAATACTCTGTAAAGTAATTTGTACCAAGAATGAGAACATAAGTTTATTTTACCTGTAACCAGTGACATCTAGCTGAACAACACCAGAATTTCTAAGGCTTTGGATCCGTAAGAGTGTTACAGGTAAGTTCTTAACTTCTTCTTTACAAACCTCACAGGTCTTGTTTCCCTTTATGGTGAACCATTTAAGAGCACAATCTTTGTGGGCAAGAGCAAGTTCGCCTTTGCAACTACACTCCATTTTTAAGGTTTCTCCTCCTTCACAGAGCTCTACCAAACAAATCCTACAAACTGCTTCATCCTCAGGTATATCTTCTCCATCAGCATCACCTGTTTCTGTTCAACACATTGATAGATTTGTTATCTTCAGTAAACAAATATTTCAGAAACAAGAAAAGGAAACATATAACCGACTGAAACACAAACTTACCCGTATCACCAGCCTCTGATGCATTTGAGAAAATGTCTCCTTCTTTTACACGTGGAGTCGAAGGAATTACTCTGAAGAATGACTCCATTCCCTTTAGGCTTAGTTCCTTGTCATTAACAGGCACAGAGCGAGAGCGAGCTATGTGCACACTCCCTTTGCTCTGCAATACCAAGTATAAGTACCTAACAATAGCGAGGTTCTCTGAAAATGATACAAGAGAAAAGCTTACGTTTGGAGTTGGAGGAGCAACACTGCTTCCCCCATGAGCTGACTCTGAGTGTGAAAGAATAACGGGAGTCACAGGTAGAGATGAAGTTCTCTTGATCTTAGGCGTAAATAACTTCGAAAGTGATAATGACCTCGCTATCGAAGCCTTCTCTTGCAATGCAGAAGGAGAACAGGCATTCCCTTGTCCCTTCTCGATATCAGTGTTAGAGGTTTTAGGTTTACAGCCAGCTTTTGGCAAAAGATTCTTCAGGGAGGATTTGCCACGCAGAAGAGCAGAAGAAGTAGGAGGACCAGGACCTGGAGAGCTAGAAGTCAGAGAAAAGTTAACTCTTCTCGGAGTTGGGCTAGGTGTTGGAGGCATTTTGATTACAACCGAATCTTGAGATGAAAGACCAGTTGCTCTCGAGGGAATCTGCAAAGAGAGGTTCTTTCGCCTCCATTGTTGAACATTTGCAGAAGCCTCTTCTGTTATAGCAGATGATTCTTCAGCCTTCGCATTAAGAACACAGATGATAGTAACCAATGGGTTCTATGAGAACTTGAAGAAGAAAGCAATTCCTCAAAAGAAGTAATCTCATGAATGAAACTAACAACACTAAATCAATTTGATCTGAATTTTGCAAACACACTAAGCAATTTTTGGCAAGTAATTCATTCGAAGTTCAAATCTCAAATAGTTTCAAACCTTTTCAATTCCCTTAAACAGACACATCAAATTCATTCAAAGTTCAAATCTTTGAAAAAACCAAGATCCAAACTTTGCACACATACATAAATTTTGATGTGGATGTGATGTGGATATGTACCTGATTAGAAGCAGGAGCAGAATCACCATGGCTTGAATCAAGAGGATTAAGAGGCTTTTCCTCAGTAGCCATCACTAATACAAACAGCAAGAGATTGATTTCAGTTTAAGGCAACCTTTAGAATTCCCAAAATTCAAATACTCTGCACCAAATAAAGCAGAACTAAGAGAACTCAAACAACCTTAACAAAATAGAGAAGAAAAAAAAAAAAAAAAAAGACTTTAATTAGAAGGAAGGGACACCGAAACGCTCAGAATAATCTTGTGATATAGTCATCAAGCAAGAAGCATAAAAGTTTGCTAGAGAAAAGCGTGACACAGTAATATACAAGTAGAGCTAGAAACAACAAACAACAAAAACAAACCACAAGTAGAAGAAGCCCAGAAACTAAAGAAACGTACCCAAAAAGAGAAAGTTCCAAAATATTCCTTAAAACCCGCCCAAAAGGAAGAAACTTTGAAACAAAGGAGAAAGGGAGAGAGAGAGAGAGAGAGGTGTTTGTTTTGGTTGCTTTATCTTCTTCTCGAGATTAGTGTATACTTATGATGATGAGGAAGATAGTGGAATCGGGCTGTAAATGAGGAAGAAGAATGAATGAAATAGAGAGAGAGAGAGAGAGAGAGAGAGAGAGAGAGAGAGTAAAGCATGATTCTCATTTATGAAAAGAGAAAGAGAGAGAGATGGGCCTGCCTTGCCTGCCTACACTTCCTTCTTCTCAATACCTCTCCTCGCCTATTGCTAAAAAAATATTTTTAATTTCTTTGCCATTTTGATGTAAATTTCATTTTCTTTCTAGATAAGTCACTAGTGTTGGGCTTATTCATTTTCATCAAATATGATCCTACCATCCGTTTCTGTTTTTTTTACTTATATAGTTAAAGCAGCAATCAGGCGATGCTAAATTATGTTTACTATTGGTTAACCACTTAAACTTATACATAAGCAATTAATTGCTTAACTTTTATAGATTTTACTGATGATTTCAGAGTTCTAACTTGATGTGTTTTACAAAGATTTGCTTTCTTATAACTTTAAAAAACTGTTGATCTGATTTTGTTATAATTTTCTTTTTGTAAAAGATAAAAGAAAAAAAAAATCATTAAACCAATTTGGTACAAAGTTTTAGTACATTCTCACGAATTATTCCGGAAAAAATAAATAAAAACCAAAAGAAAAAAATATTTATGGAAAAAGACAGTATAGTAGTGGTTGTGTGATGCGTGTTATATTTGATACGGGCGCGGCACAATATGATAAGACGAACACAATTGTGTAATTTTACATTTGTGTGTGTGTGTGTGTAAGTACTGGCTAACCAACTCATGTGAATGTATGACATGTGTAGTATCATAGTGATTTAGTGGCTTTCTTCTCTTTTCCTTTTCAATTTTAAATCTCTTTTTGAAATTTTTGTTTTTGATCATATCACCCAAGCTTGATGTAACACCTGCATTTCTGTTATTGCTCTCATTGTCTATTTATTAGTCTTTAGAACCGTGTAACGCTTTCCAAAAAAGAACTTAATTGTGACTGAAATTTTCGTTTCCAAAACTAGGTGTTGATCTATCAAATCTAAATTACGATTAACAAATGGTAGTTTTTTGGATTCATTATTGGAACTATACAATAATAATTAGGCGGATCAACCAAATTCCTTTAATCTTTAAAGTTAACTTTATGATAATCCACGTTTTCTAGTAACTATTTTTTGTCATAATTTTGTAATTGTTTTCACGAAAGAGTAAATAACGTGATGTGGCTAGCTCTATATAAATGTTGGCAAGATTCATATTAGTATCTTATGTAAGCGAAGAGACTATGGTATATATTTGGATTAAAAATTTGTTAGCGATGCATTAGGTTTAGCAAAGCTTGTTTGATGTTAAGATCTCTGAATTATCATACATCACGATCATGCGTGAAGTTTGTGCTTGGTTAGGTGGTGCAGATAATAACGTTATCTCATTAAACAATTATTCTATACGACAACTATAGATATGATTAATAATAATATGCTCTGATTTGACATTGTTTAAAGTTTTTGGTTTTCATTAATTCTTGTAACATCATATATACTAATATATACTATCATCCAAGCTGAAACAAGTAATAAACCCTCTCTAATTCATTTCTAAAGCTTATGTTACAAATTACTGAGTTAAGCAAAAGTACAAATTTATAGTATAATTTCTTTAAATAATCTACAAGTTCGGCTAATTAGGTTATCATTATTAATGGGGTTTTAATAAATTTTAGAGTTAAAGATTTGTTAAGAAATGGTTCTAAGATCAATAATGATGGTTTTTGTGATTTAGTTATCGTTTATGTTGCATGAGAGAGTACTAGTGCTTTTTTGGCGATAGTTTTATCTGTCTTGACTCTTGACAGTGGATAGCCGATAGCCACACACAAAACACACAGAACCTAAAGAAAAAGGTTAGTCATGTTTTTTCTAATGCTGGTGGTGGTAACTGGTAAAGAAGGAGAATATATAATTTGAATTCGGCTTTGGAATGATGCCCCAACAATAAAAGCGACTTTATTTTACATATTTTTGCTTCTTACGAAGAATCTCTGCTTTTCAAGGAAAACATTTGTAAGAGTAATCTACTCGTGAATAAAGCTAATTTTGACTTGAATTTAAAAACCAGCCATCCTTTATCTGAGGTGTTATTAGACTGAAGATTTGAATTTGCTTTCCTATTGATGACACTAATTTCAATAGATTTGTTATATAATTGGAAGAATCGTTTTAAGTTTGAACGACGGCATGCACAAAAGTAATACTATGTAACCGTTACTGTTGTTTTTGTTTTCAGGAAAAAAAAAAACTTGTGAAAGTTATCCAAACTTTAAAAAAAAAAATTTTATGAAGTTGTAAAGAAGATTTATATAAAAACTAGCTAGAGACAGATTTATATTAACTGATATATATGGCTCCAGGCTCCAGCTATGGATGAAAAGAGAAATTATAACTAAATCTATAATTCTGATTTGGATGTTTTTAATATATCTGAATGGCCAAACCTACCGATTACGTGAAAGTAGATACCAAAGTGATCCAAATCAACCAGAATCGGCCTGACACAAAAGGCAAAGCTATAGCATATTGGTAGGCAATCTCTCTACATATGTACATCATTAATTATAGGATTTGTTTTCTTTCTTTTATGTGGGATTCTGTTTACATGTAATTAGCTTCTTTTAGCATGTATCAGAAGTTAGAACCTACCATTGACGCGACGCACTAATCTGAATAGCTATACTAATACAAAACAATGATAGAACGTACGTTTATTTGATATATATTAACTTTTGTTTGAAAATATAAATGCTATTATGTAAAATACATGCACCATATAATCATAAATGATACGTATATAATATATTGACTTATGCCATCTCTTTATTAATGGTAGGGTTTGTACAGTTTTGTGCTTGTGCATGAATTCTGAACTACTCTATATGTACATGTAATAAATCCTATAAAAAAATAAAAAGTTTGTCTTTGTATATGACTGTACGTGAGGTCAAGCTATCTCGAAGACCCACACATTGTTGGGGGATCGGAGAAAGAATCATCAACTCGAAGATTCTATAGAATAATTAAGTAGACTTAAATGCCTACGTACGTTAACACTGACCTAACTGTGTTTTTTTTTTTTTTGACACGGCCATGAGAGTTCTGTCTTTTTGGTAAGGTTTTGTCTTTTTGGTAAGGTTTTGTCTTTTTTTCTTTTTTTTTTTTTGGTAAAAGGTTAAATTTTATACCAATTTTCAAATTTGCGACAGAAGTTACAGAGAAAACGAAGAAATCAGAATGACCGAAATTTACAACTAAAAAATTTACGAACACAAGACAAAAACACGACAAGGAAAGCATTAGCGAAACAATTAGCAAAGGCCCGAAGAAGAAACACCAATTCCGAACCGCTAAGTTCGAACATTTGCGTGATTGCCTCAGCTCCAAAGAACTCGAGTCCTCATCGTTGTTGCCACGAGCAACCCTACCCAAAGCCAGCCTTCAAAACCTCGAGACAAAAGGGCGCCTACAGCTTCTCCGAGGACTAACGCAAAAACGGAACCGCTAAAATTGGACCTAATCGCACCCGGCGGCATGGGAGCATCTACGGGCAGCCAGAGAAGCCGCCTCTGACCACCATTCCCAAGCGTGAACCAACGGGAACCATCTCCCACGGGATTGAGAAAGCAACCTAGACAGAACCGCTGCCTCTATTCAACCACTAAGCCTTCGCCGATGTGAAAAGCGTAGCAAACCAAGACGCAACAATACAAAGAAGACACAAACACCTACAACAAACCCCAAACCAGCCTATGCAAAACAGCAGCACAAGCCTAGGAAGAACCAACCGGAACGAACCAAATCAAAAACACCAACAACGAACCTCCGATACAGAGAAAAGGAGACCTGACGAGAAGCCACAAACTAGCAACTACGGAAGACGCAGCTGACACCAACGTCCACCCACAAGACAGAAGAGATTCGCCGTTAACGGATAACCGCCACACGAACAACCAAAAGCAACAATTCCAAACAAATTGACGCTGAGGAAGCTTCCACTTGTGTCACAGATCCAATGCCCTTCACTCTCTGCCACCAGAAGCTTGAAAACCGTTGAAGGAGAGACCGATGAAGACACGAAGAAACAGAAGCTCGGAGGTGAGACCAAGAACCGGATCAGCACCAACACTGAAAAGGGAGAAAGGCGAAAGAGACCGGCTAGCTAAACCGGAATCCAGAGGCACCACAAGCACAGCCACCGAAGGAGACCGAGCTGCTCCCACGCCTCAACAACCTCACAAAAAAAAAACCCAAGATCTAAAATCAGATCTGATACCACTGCTGGAGAGAAAGTCGATCCGCCAGAACCACCAAACCACCGCCGAAAACAAGCCACTGTCCTTAAATAGCGACGACATCGGCGACCCAAACCCTTGGCGAGTACTTTCTCTCCACGCAACAGTTCACCACCTATCCAAGGCTTCAGAGAAGAGGAGATCCAAGCCATCACCACTGGAGCAAACCAACAAAAGCTACAGATAAAAAATAAAAATCAGGGAGCCCTCCCCGGCGCCGGAAGCACACCGGAGAGGCGACGAAACCAGATCTAGCAAGTTTTGTCGAGAAGAAGGGGAAGAGAGAGAAGGGAGAAGCGCGTGCTCTCCACGCGCTGGTTTTTCCAATATAATGTATATCCGTGGCGGTTTCTTTTTCTTTTGGAAACTCTAGTTATACATTCTTGAAGATTATTGATTTATTTCATCGCACAAAGATTCATTAGCTTTGAGTCGAATGGAAAATCTTTATTTATTATAATTAGCATTTTAGTTTGTTTTTAGTGTTGTTTAGTTTCAATCAATTACGAAGCTACTCCTATATAATTATGACCTTATCCTATGGATGGACTACAAATTTGAATTTTCCCATAAGTATAGTGGATTTTGTTTTGGTAGCTTCTATGACACTAGATAATATTTGAGGTTAACTTTCACGCATGCAGAACTTCCAAATTACTAGGTTGGTCTATGGGAATACATGATGACCCAAACTGGAAAAACGTAAATACCACAAGCCATGTAAACGCCAAAATCCGATCCATCAGTTCCTCCGACACGTCATAATCTTTTTCCTTTCTTGGGTTAGCTTACAAGCGATGGATCTACGTGTGTGTCTCGCTAGTTTTGCCAACCTGTCGCGAGAAACCAACTTTCAGATTCCAAGTCCACCACAGCTTAATTGTGCTACTAGCCGCAAAACCCGTTTCTAATAATGGGCTAAGAAAAAATATGAATCATGGAAGCCTTGGAACTTTGGAATGTCTTTCCTCGCTAGGCAAGTGTTTCGGATTCGCCTATCAAGAATAGGGAAAAGAGCTTCGACCGGAGTGCGAATACCGGTATAGATGCGAGCATTTCTTTCATGCCAAAGAGAGTAAATAACTGCTTGAGCCAAAAGAAGCTTTAATGGCTCCATTTTGGGGTCATTTGATGTAGCTTTAAGCCACATGAGGAACCTATCCCAGTTGTTGAAGCCTGCGAATGGGATCTGAAGTTTTTCAAGACCCCATCTCCAAAGGTCATAGCTATATGGGCAGGTTAGAAAGAGATGATCTCTTGTCTCAAAGTAGATCTCGCAAAGGTAGCAAGTATCATCTTCTAAGATTCCCCATTTTCTAAGCCTTGATAGAGTTGGAAGTCTATCTAGGCAACTTAACCACAAAATAAAAGAGTGCTTTGGGATAGACCCTGAAAACCAGACCTGGTGGTGCCAAGTCACCTCTTGTGAAGGTGTCTTAACGAGCTTCCAAGTTTCAGCGAAATTGAACTGGTTTCTAGGATCTCCATGTGGTCTAGCCCATAAGTAGGTGTCCTTAACATCCTCATTAATTTCTATTTCAGCGAGATGTCTTAAGAGGAGTTCAGTCTCATTGCTGCGGGCACCTCTAAAGATCCATCCATCACTAGTGCGAGCCTTGGCCACAGTTGAGTCTAGCGGGAGACCTAACCTTTGGTGTTCTTGAGGGCCTAGGTAAGAAAACAAGTCTCCGAATGGAGTCCAATTATCAAAACAAAAGGAACAAGATTTACCATTTCCAACTTTGCAAGAGAGGAATGTTTTGGCAGTGGATCTTAGCTTGAGAAGCTGCTTCCACATTGATGAACCCTGACTGTTAATAGAGAGGTTCCAAAAACACTTCCTCCTTAGCTTATGATTTCTACACCAAGCAACCCACAAAGAACCAGAAGCAGAGAATAATTGCCAGATGAGTTTCAGCCCAAATATTTTGTTCCAAGATTTCAAGTCCTTGAGGCCTAGGCCTCCTTCTGATTTTGGAGAACAAACTTTTTTCCAGCTGACTTTAGCTTGCTTTGGAATTTCTGCAGAACCAGACCACAAAAATCTTCTGCAAAGCTTTTCAAGATCCTTAATAAACTTTGTAGGTAGGATAAAGGCAGCACACCAATAGGCAACAATATTTTGGATAACGGAGGTGAGCAGTTGCAATCTCCCTGCATATGAGAGGTGTTTGTTCTGCCAAGAGTGAAGGCGTTTTCTCACTTTTTGAACCAGCGGCTCACAGTCAGCCCTTGAGAGAGGATTTGGCAGCAAGGGAAGACCTAGATATCTCACAGGAAGAGTTCCCAAATAGAAACCAAAAGATGAGCTTAAGAGCGCCTGAAATGGAGCATTAGATCCAGCAAGATAAAGCTCAGTTTTGTTCTTGTTCATGATTAGACCTGAGATGCTTGAAAAATAATCCAAAAGATTCACAATAGCCTTTAAAGAGGAGAATTCACCATCAAAGAACAACATCACATCGTCAGCAAAGATAAGATGGGTAACATTCGGGTTCGTTGCCTTAGGGTGATATCCAATATGTCCTGTTTGGAAGCGAAGATCCAACAGCCTTGAGAAGGTATCCATTCCAATCACAAAGAGGTAAGGGGAGAGAGGGTCTCCTTGTCGCAGTCCCTTCTTTCCTTTAAAATACCCACAAAGTTCTCCATTAACTGAGATTGAGAATCTTGTGGTCTTAATACATTGACTAATCCAGTGTATGTATTTTCTTGGGAAGTTAGTTGCCACCAAGATGTCAATTATGAAGCTCCACTCAATGGAATCAAATGCTTTCCTGAGATCTATCTTCAGCATTCCCCTTTTTGAGATCCCATTCTTATTGTAGCCTTGAACTAATTCTGATGCAAGCAGCACATTCTCCACAATTTGTCTCTGCTTAACGAAGGCAGTTTGATTCTCTTGTATCATCTCTGGTAGCAAATTCTGAAGTCTTCTTGCTAAAAGCTTGGAGATGACTTTATAGAGCACATTAATGCAGGAGATTGGTCTATACTCACCCACTGTTTCCGCATTGGTGACCTTAGCAATCATGGTGACTGCTGTGGAGTTCCAACTTGGTTCCATTTTCCCATTCTCAAAGAAGCTCTGGACTGCAATTGTGACTTCCTCACCCACCACATCCCAACAGTGTCTGAAGAACTCATGCTTAATCTATGGTTTAGAGGACTCTTTCTCTAATTTTTATATATATTTATTGTATCCTCTTCTTTATAGTTCTTGTACCGGGTTTGTTCATCCCGGAGTTCGTTGTCGTTGTGGCACCTTTTTTTCTATTTTCATGTAATCGTGAAAGTTATATATATTATCAGAAATTTTATTAAAAAAAAAATGAATCATGGAAGCAGCAATATTTCCGTGTGTATGTTAGCGTGGTTGAGATGCCTCCCAAACTTAACAAGTAAATTTCTTTTCCTCTACATATATGTAACAAGAAAAAATATATGAGACCAAACTAAAAGATCTCACGATTTATGAACTAAGTTGTGTACCAAACTGAACTTATTACATACATTTGTACTGATGACTGCAAAGATAAGGAGCACATGAATACTTTTCTCAGCTCACTGAAATTTGTAGAACGTACTAGCATTTCCGAAATATACAGATGGAGACTGTTTCTAACAGAAAAAACAAATATTGACTGCATTAAATTTCTCAAAAGAAACGTATATATATTTTGTTATCGTTAAAAAAACATTAAAGAATCATAAATCCTAGTTCGAAGTCTCCTCTTCCTCCGGCTTTGGGTCGTGTGGTACGTGGGGGTCTCCTAGACTGGTCATAGGATCATTAACCCCTCCACATTAAAGTCTATTGCTTTCACTTCTTCCATATGAAAAGACTCGTAAGTTTTCACTATCCACAACTACATAAACCGCAAATTATAGTTTTCACTATTCACAACAATCCAATTCTCGGCAAAAGCAATGCCACACTGTAAAATTTTATATTTTTTCTCTTCTCATTCAGTAAATGATGAACAGAGCAAATGACGCAGTGGATTTTTTTTTTCTCTTCTCCTTTGGTAAATGATGAACCAAGTAAAAAACAAGGAAAACATTTTGCAGAGGAATGAATTTTCACTTTTTTTCCAATTTACCCAAAAAAATTAAACAGAACAGACAACAAAAGCATAATGATCCGAAGAGCAAAATGAACTAAAGACCAGTCAAATAGAGAAGAAGAAGAAGAAGAAAGAAGTTCTGTTTTACAAATAAAGAAGAAGAAGAAGAAAGAAGAAAGAAGAAGAAGGAAAGAACGAACCAGAGATAGATTTGATGTAAAGAAAACCCCAACTTTTCCAGAAGGTTTCCTTATTTAGCAGCCCATCACTGCGCAGTTATACACAAACACACCAACATTCTCTTTAACTCCAAGCACTTTCCAATCCAAGTTTCCATCTTTAGCTCCCGACTTTGGACACCAAGAATTCACCACAATGCTCTCACCGTGAGGACCTCGCTGCCCACAAAACACCAACAGTTGGTCCCCGCACGGTTTAAACGCCAACCCCCAACCGTTTGACGAGTCCACCATTTGTGGTAACCTTCCCATTACTTCCCATCTGTTCTTCGCCTTATCATACTTCTTCACCATACTCGTCAAGTACTCGAGTGTGAATAGCTCGTTATTAACCACCACAACAAGAGGTGGAGCCTGCGCTGCTCGGTTCACATTCGGATACATTCCTTCTATCTTCCTCCATTTCCTTGTCTCGAGATCAAATTCCTCCCCACAAGTAACCGATACATTAGGGCTGGTCATGCCTCCAAGCACATAGAATTTACCGTCCATGAAGAATCCGGAGCATAGTCTTCGAGGAGAATGCATATTGGGAAGCATTTCCCATCTCCCTGAAGAAGAATCATAAAGCTCAGCTGATGCTAGTATATTGCCATTCATATCTGTTCCACCTGCAACTATAGCGATGCCGCCAAGGCTTCCAGATGCAAACAAGCAGCGAGGACGATGCATTCCTTCGCATTTGACCCAACACCGAGACCTCAAACTGTATTTCCAAATAGCAAACTGAAACAACTCTCTCCCGAAAACCAGAAGCTCGTCGTCCACAGCCAAAGACTCTTTATCAGCATGGTTGAAGCACTCGTCACAGGGCATCTTAGGTAACACCATCCATTTCTTTTTCATAGGAGAAAACATCAACCAACCTCTGGGGTCACAAACCATGAAAACAAGATACTCCACAATCCCTAGTTCCTTCCTCAAACCAAACAACTGCCCACCGTTGATCAACTTATTGTACTTTTTGTTTACACAAGACAAGGAAGGATAGTCTGACCTCGGAACCCAAGCAAGACAATTTAGAGCAACATCATCAATAAGACCAGGGAGAAGCGAGTCACTTGATCCCAACCTGAGGCGCTGATCATCTTGTTCCTCTCCAACCCTCGAATTCACTACTACAGAAGCAGAAGCAGAAGCAGAAGCAGAAGCAGAAGCAGAAGCAGAAGCAGAAGCAGAGACTTCTCTTCTCTTATTCGAATGTTCTTCAGCCATTAAAGTTAACAATCTATTTCAATACAAAGAATCCAACCCAAACCCAAAAACAAAGAAACCTATTTCAATACAAACAACAAATCCTGTCTTCTTCTCCAATCATCAAAAACGAGTCTCGCTTAATTGGGCAACTCTTGACCCAGTATCCAGATACAGATTTCGATTGTTGCTCCAAAATAATCTGCATCTCCTTATTACTAGTTAGTTTGTCCATCAAATCTTCAAACAAATCTAAACTTTATCACACAACAACATCCTCAAACTCTTTGAAACCCAAACCAGTAAGTTTCCAAAGTTGGAATAACCGTCTTGCCCCGGTGCAAAAACCCAAATATAATCTGTAGTTATATTACACAATGTCCGAATCTGCAAGAAAAAAAAAAAACTCAAATCAATCAAACCAACTGAAGAAAAATTGATAGAACATGTCAAAAATCGAGTCTTTATAACTCCGATCCAAATAGAATCGTTTCGGATTAACAAGAGATCGTTCCTCAAATCAAAGCCAAAGTCAAACAATGAACAAGAGAAAAGCAGATCCGAATCCGACAATTAGAAATCCCAATAAAAATCTGAAATTTGAGAATGCATCCCAGATCCAATTTGAGGATCGATCATACAGAGCAGAAGAAGAGGACGAACAAATCATACAATTAAAAAAAAAAACGAAGAAGAGAAGACTAATCCATATGATATGCTTACCCCCAAAAACCTCCAATGGTAAAATTAGATCTTGCGATGTATCGGGTAATATAATCACCCGTTGAATATTTCGCCGGCGAGTCAAAAGGTAGATAGAGAGAGAGAAGGAGGAGGAGGAGGAGAGAGAGAGTGGACTGGAACAGCTGAAAGAAAAAAATGGAAAAGAAGAGAAGGAGAAGGGTAGGGTTATATAATCGAAGTGTGAGAGAAGCCAAACAAGAGACAAGAAGCTTATGTATTGATGTCTGTCTCTTTCCTAATTAAAAATTAAAAATTAATAACACATAGCATTGTTTTAATTTCTTTCATTCTAACCCTAAACTTTATAGATTTAACAATTTTGACCCCCAAATTAGATGCCTAATTCAGAAGACTTTGTTTGTCCAACATATTAAATATACATATGTTAAATTTTGTTTACCATGTTTAGTTTAACGTAATTATTGATCCACTGGTGTCAACTTAAACTTTATTTCCCAAAAAAATAAAAGATCTAGCAAAGATTTATGAGCTTTTTAGTTGCGATACTTTCATAACAACAAGTTAGATGATTGATTCCTTTGGGAATTCACAAGTAACTTAAAGAACTTATGTGAAGAAAATTTCTACGTATGCATATTAGAAAATACATGCTTGTACATAATTTTAGAAGAAGAAGAATATGCATACACGATACATGCATGCACAAGACTTTTAGTTTTGAGATTTGACAACGACAAAAATTATCCTTTTATATAAGTTCTTTTGATTTTACTCTTAATATTATAAGCTAACATTCTATAGAATTTGGCTCGAGACATCTAACCGATGAAAATATAAAGAAATAGTACATTATTAACATAACGATATATCAATCAAGTCAATTACATTGGGATGCAACAGCATACACGCTCGTCTCCATATAAAACACACACAAAATATGTACCTTAGAGCGAATAAGACAATCTTGTGACAAATCCACAATCGCCCTAAGGATGGTGTGCCATAAGGCAATCTTGTGACGAATCCATAATCGCCCTTGTTTAATCAAATCATATTACCACACATACACACTGTACTTATGATATTTTTGTTTCTAGTAATCAACAAATTAAACATTGCAATTTGCAATCATATTTTCATATATAAATACAGAAACAAATCAACAATAAAGAGAGGAAAGAGATTATCTCACGAGTTTTTTTTTTTTTTTGGTTAAAAGAGAGATCTCACGAGTTGATTGCACTCTGGTAATAAAGAGAGAAACAATAACGAGAAGAGGAAGACATTGAAATATTCGATGACCAAATTTTCTGATGAGTTCTTTTTTTCGCTAAAAAAGTTGATATCAACTATTTTCGATCCAATGCAATGCATGAATAAACTAAGACCCGATGGTTGCTTTTATATATACACTCAAGACTCAAAATAGTATTTTTACTACTGCATTACCTTATAAATGTTAGATTTCTTCTCTACATGCATATTATCATTTAAATTACACAATTAATAAGTACATGGTTATTATCATTTATGACATGACATCCTAGCTACTTATGTTATTTGGGGAAAAAATATGAAAATGACTTAAATATATTTATTGCTCTGACGTATAGTGCATGACTGCATCCACTTACCTATCTTTGATAAAATTTAACAAAATTTACAAAACATAATGGTACTTCTAATTGCATACATGTTATCTGTATGTATGTATAGTAAAGTATGTCATAGAAGATCATTTGAAAATAAATTATGAATAGGTAGGATTAGCCATCTCTTATAAGAATGGCAAAAGTATAACAACCATATCAAAAGCAATTATAAAATTCGTAAACTTCGGTTGGAGGAGATCGATCCCCTTATAAGTGATAACGAATTTGGAGGGCAACTTCCCCACGTCAACAAAAAAAGAAAAATCAAAGCCAAAATCAAGATCAAAATCGAATTTAGTTTAAAACTTATAAACAATGCACAATAACATACAATTATCTAGTCATTAAAGAAAAAGAAAAACAATGACCCCAAGCGAGGTCAAACTTGTCTGGTTAAGTTGGTGCATCTATTCTTGAAGCGATCAAAAGCTTCCGATTTTTTAAGTTAAGGATCCGAAGTTTCAGAGATCCCATTAGCTTCTTCTTCTTCATCTTTAATCATTAAGGCAGCATTGCGTTTGCACCAACACAAATACTCAGGGACAAGCCCATCTTCTCCAACTACCCATGGATGCTCGGACACATTCTTTAGTGTCAACCTCTGGCTCGGATCTGCAAAAACCGCCATTGATATACATTTGAGACTTAGTTCTTTAGTTTGCACTATTTATTCTACACTGAACGAATGGAAATAACTCACCTTTGCAAAGGAGACCTTCAATCAAATCTCTGAGAAGAGGATTCAGTCCATCCGGGATTATCAAAGGGTTGTTAACAATCTGTAGGCGATAACAGGATTATAAACAATGGGAAGTTATAAGATTTTCAAGATCCAAGGGAAGGACTGATCAGATGCAGAACCTACCTTGTCGTAGGTGTCCTGAAGAGTATCAGCAAGAAATGGGTATTGTCCCAATATCATACAATACAAAGTAACTCCAACTGCCCATGTATCCGCAGCTCTGCCACTATATGTTACACCTGACACTGCATTCGATCCAAGAAAGGAAAAAAAGATTTTTGCTCATTCTCTATATAGACTAATGAACTAGGACCAAGCTTACAGAGATTAGAATGCAAACTAACCTAAACAACATTCTGGAGCAGTGAAGACTGGAGTCCCGGGAGATCGACGCAGTTGATCATCATCATCCTGTAACAACAAAGAATTGATGGTAACACTCAGGTAAGAAGATAGCTATAAGAATTAATGAAGACCAGTGATTCAGTTATCGCTTTGTTACCTTGAATACTTGGCTAACACTGAAATCTCCTATCTTCACAGTACCACTACTAGTAACCAGCAAATTGTCGGGTTTAATGTCCCCATGAATTACATCCTGTTTGGTCCCCATAGAAACAGTATCAAGACAGTATTAGGTGACGAAACATGAAGTAAGAGAAACACGCTAATCAAGGAAGACCATACATGAGCATGAAGATACATCAGGCCAGTAACAATATCACGCAAATACTTTCTAGCAGTTTTCTCCCCGAGAGCACCCGGCGGTCCAGAGCCATCATACACCCATTTTCCATCAACGTATTCGAGAACTAGGAGAAACCAGAAAGACAAACATTTATAAGGTAAAAGGCTCTTTCCATGGTGAGTATAAATCTAAACAGTAGAGAAGAAAAAAGAGATTACCCATGTAAAAATGATCAGTTTCAGGGTCATCTATAACCTCAATGAGGTTAACAATGTTAGGATGCTCCAGAATTTTCATAATCATAACCTGAAGTGATGAGATAAATGAGCGTAAACACAACTTCTTTAAAATGAACCAATAGAAATGCTGTTCTGAAATGCAAAAAACTCAGTGTACCTCACGAAGAACATCACTCATAGCAGTCTCTGAAGGTGCAACCCTTAGCCTTAATAAATGCGACTTATGAAATGCCTGGAAATCCAAGTATTAAATCATAATATGTCAGAGAGCTACAAGCCATATATATAAGTGATCAATTAAGCAAATTAACTTGTATAATTCAAATGATTAACATCAGCTCAACAATAAGGACAAGGTTTTTCACGAGGCAATGAGGGAAAGAAATAAGGGCTTACTTTGATAGCATAAAACTGGCCGTCTATAGTGCTTCGATATAAAACCTGTTGAGAATCCAAAAAAATAATGTTATGGAATCCAAAACCCGGGATGCTTTTGGAGGATACATTTAAAGGATTGGATAGTATTGTGTAGATGACACTTACCACTTTACCATAGCTACCAGATCCAATTTTACACACACGAACGTACTCATTGATTGTCTTGTCACCATTTTCATCCTAAATATCAAACAACAACTAAATTTGTCTAGACACACCATGAGACATTCTGAGAAGCATTAACATGCGAGATAGGCACAAGACGACGCAAATTACCTCTCCACGGATAAGTTCATTAGTTTCTCTCACTGGAATGTGCCTGCAGATGAATCCATTATCTAATCTATAAGTCAAAATTTCCTCAGATCGTTTAGAGCGGCTCTTCTGCTCTACTTCTTCTTCATCCTCTTCTTCTTCTCCTCTCGCAGTGGTAGTAACATCGCTATCACAAGAGTATGTATCATCGTCGTAGGGCTTAGGCGATTGTCGGGTTCTACTACCAGAAGCGCCAAAGCATCCAAAGCAACCCATAGTACGGGCAAACAAAAAACTATCACGAAACATGACCTACTCCTCAAAGTATGAATGAATGCTGAAAGATATAGTGCCTAAGTTAACTGAAGAGAACCTGCACAAAAAAAAGGTGATATCAAAATAAATATCCTGAATTGAGCATCCGAATAATCAAAAACGAAAACGTCGGTACAAATCCAAATCTTACCCCGCGATAAAAGGGGTTAAGAAGGCTTGCAGCCCGAAGAACCTGACTATTCCAAAGGATGCCATTCAGCGAGATGAACACAACAAGTTGAGATATCACAGCCACAGCAATCGAAACGAGACATGCCTAAGACTGAAACCTTATAAATAAGTTATACTTATCAAAATTTCCTAGCTTCTTTCTTCACGAGCAGCAACGCGTTGAGCGCATAGGCCCCCAATTATTAAGAGCTACACAGCTTCAATAAAGTCAAGATGAATCCGAGTGTTCTGCAAAAATAAAATTTTTAAAAAGGGGTCAAATTCTCATTCAAATTTCGCTGATAGCAACCACTACATTAAAAAAAAAAACTTGGGATGATAAGTCAATAAACATGAAATCTATTACATCACATTGTGGATTACAATATGATTCAGGGGTAAAGGTGTACACTTTTTTCAATCATAGTCGTCAACTCTCAAAATGACATCAAACAATGCAAACAACCAAATTTTGTACCACAAACTCAAGAACCCTCAAGAGGGTGGCTTTCAAATTCACAAACCATAATCTCCTTAAACTTTGGAAAACAAAGAAAAAATAACCCTAATTTCGATGCAATGAAAAAAAATTATGAGAAGATCCCCAGTATTCGGCTAATCGAGAAAAAAGAAAATAACAGTAATTGAAGGTGAAAGAGAGAAACATACATCGAAGCTGATATT